GTAGAAAGTTTTATAAATACTATAGAATCACAAATTGATCTTAGGTAGATCACCATTGAAAACCAAGAAGGACTAGATTATTTATCAATAACTGTTGTTCATCTAAATACTTTTCATTCATAAAATTATGGAAAATTGAAAAAAAATTATTAGGATTCATTGAAATACAATTGAAATGCAGTGATTGTGTGAGCGGGTATTCTGAATTTAGATAGAATTTACTTTAAACACTTATTGTGTCGAGTGGAGAAAGGTATCTACCTCATCACAATGGGAGATGGTCGCGTAATTTCGTGGACAGGTTTTGGTTAGACATTAAGACCTTTCAATACTGGCTCATCCAAATGGAGGTTAAGTGTTCGTGCACGAGATCGATAGGTCCTGGGTTCGAATCCGGTGAGGTGAGATCGTGGATGCGCACTGCTAAGGAGTCCTACATTAGGACGAAACAGCTGTCCAGTACATCTAGGTTTTTCAATGAAGAACAATTTACTAAAGTAGATAATTTTGGTCCTAATTTCGTCTATATAAATAACATTTATTATTGTCGTCATAATGAACAAAAAAAAAGTAAAGGTAGAAATTTTAATACCGTTTAATGAGAAACTTTATTTGTTTTCTAACCTCATTATATACCATTGATGGATGTGAAATAAAGAGATTTCAATTATGATAAATGGGTGAATTAAACATTAATTTTACAAAATTCACCATTCTCTCTTACTATACAAACATTTAAAAGTATAAATTTTTTTTAAAAAATATTCCCTTTTATTATCTCTAATCTCTACTTTTCCCAATAGATTTAAGTGTAACTAAATAACCTATTAAATATAATTATTTCAGTACTGTATAGGGACTTATAGAGATTGTTGAATTCTATAGTTTACAGAATAAACTAAATGTATTTAATATCACGTGGGTTTTGTGGAAATTATAGTAATTTGAATGGTTAAGATCATGAGTCAGTTGAAGCTAGACCACCATGGAAATCAGTAGGTCCTGGGTTCGAATCTCGCAGAGGGCGAGGTCGTGGATGCGCTTTGCTAAGGAGTCACACAATAGGACGAAACGGCCGTTCAGTGCTTCCAGGTTTCCCATGGTGGTCTAGCTTTAACTGACTCATGATCTTAACCATTTAAATGTATTTAGGCAAACAGTTTGATTTATAAAGCTCTGAACAGATATCTAAACTTTACATAGAACTGCCTAATAGTGTCTATTAACGAACACACCAGTTACGCTCTGGTAGTAGTAGGAGGTGGAGGAGGAGGAGGAGAAGTATAAAATATTAGATATAGAGGGAAAAAGAGATAAACAATTAGATTTTAGTACTTAGGATTTTAGAAATGACAAAAAGTGAAGTTCTTTGTGCAATTCTGTCTTATTCTAAGACATATTACCCAACATGTCCAACCACTGGTCACGATCATCACGTGGACCTCTATCAGATAGTCTGTATATACTCACACAGCTCAGACCATTTGTCAGGAACTTTATGAACCAATAAATTAGCTGCCTTTGTCTTTCATTTAACTTATCACCACATAACATCACCCGTCAAAACAAACAGTGGTTGAGCATTTATAATAGATGTATCCAGTAACATCATTTGAAGAATATACAAACACTTTTATGTTGGAAACTAGTCATCTAAAACAAGAGAGACACAGCCATACTTACTCATCATTATAATTCTTCTTAGATAGAACAAATTCAAAAAATTGTATTAGCCACTTTAGTTAAAGGTTAAGTCATCAATTATTGTTGATTGATTGATTGACTCAAAGGTTTTAAGTATACTGGTTTATTATTTACTACACATTAATTGTCTAGCCTACACATATTCCAAAGTTGTTTTTATCTCCTTAAATTCTGCTTCTACAGTCTCCTAAGAATCAAATAACATCTCGTCACATTACTATTTATTTCGTATTTAATAAAAGTCAACAGTAGCAGGGAATACTTGTTGAGTAATGACACATTCATTTCCAATTACTTTCCCTTGAGTATAAACATATATAATCACTAATTAATCAGTTGAATGATTCATTCCTCAGTAACATTGAAAATTCTAATCATACAATTATCAGATAACAAATTAAAATTAGATTTTTCAACTGATTCAATTAAAACCTTGTTTCCTTTGTAGCAAGATCTTATTTGAGATACTATTATTATTTTTCTTTTCTACAATTTCACTGCTAGCCATTATCCATCTTTGTATATAAAGTTTATAATTATTGTTAAAGATTGTAGACATTTCAATGAGGTCATCTATTGTTACACTTAAATTTTATAAACTTAAGGAAGGAACCATTCAATACTTCATAAACTGGGTGTTTGTTTATTAGACACTGGCTCAGTGATCTAGAGGTTAAGCGCTCGCGTGCGAGAGTGATATGTCCTGGGTTCGAAACTCGCAGTGGGGGGCGAGATCGTGGATACGCACTGCTGAGGAGTCCCACAGTAGGTTGAAACGGTCATCCAGTGCTTTTAGGTTTTCCATGGTGGTCTAGCTGCAATTGACTCATGATCTCAACCATTGAAATTACTATAATATCCACAATACCCATTCTGATGTTGGTTTGTTGGTTTGTTTTCGTTTTTATTATTTTTCTTTTCAATACTTTATTTTTTCTCAGGTTAAAACAAAGTTTATATTAGTTGTTGCCATGACATTTTGGTAAAATTTACACTTTCATGACCTTTATAATTTATTTTTCAAGTGAAATCTCTCTTTCGATAAACTTACTATGCAATTGTATATATATTCTTTATTTCCATTAATAGGCTTTTTTATAAAACCGTGAAATTTGATAGATGGTTACTTATTCTATTAAACTATTGTTTCCGTAGTTTTATGAATACTTTACCGTTTTATAATACAATATATATGAAACTTGGTTTATTATTTAGTAAAGGTTTTCAGGGATTGATATTTATTGATTTAATCAAAATTAATAATCAATTTTATACTCTGTTCAAGTGAGGACAAACTCTATTCTCGTTCGGAATTTTGACCTTGCAACTGGCGACTAAGCAAAATGAAGCGGGGATTATTATTTACACTATCATAGTCCATGATGGAGGGCACGAGAAATGTAAAGTTTTTTTGTGACGAAAATACCACTTCATGGTGCTATGGACATATTAAGTGTAGAACAGTTAGTCATGACGGAAGAAAAATCATAACATAGTAGAGGATATATCTTTAATTAATTCTATCATAGAAATTACATCAAAATATCTACGACTGGGTGACTAAATAAGCGAGAACATAACTTCAATCACTGACTGTTATACACTTAGATGACTTGAAAAGGTAGATCTTATCCCAGGCTCCTGTTTTCTAAATTTGATTTCCTTTTCCAAATGTATATTATATGCATATCAGTGGCTGACGTCGCCACATCACATTGGTTGGATAAAATAAATATTGAAGGAATCGAAATAATTTAAAGCTAGTGATAATCGGAATAATTAGGAACTGATAATATTATTTATAAAGATAAAAAGCAAAGATATAAATGCAGGAATACTGGAGCTCTGGATCTAGAGAAAGATAAGCAATGAATATATCTACTGTACTGTGGTCAATTCTAAGCTATCTTACTCAACGCTTCAAACCACTGATGATATTTATTGCGTAAGTTTTAAACCAGTAGTCCACATCTATCAAAATGGCATAAGACAATAGGCAATGACTTCGTGAATTGATACCATGTTTTGATTCAACCGACTATCCCTTTCGACCAACCTGCTTCAGTTTACATCGCCCGTCGAGATTTTAGACGTGGTTTGATGTATAACTCTGAAATATTTCTTTAAAAATATGTTTAAATTATGTTATATAAAGCTAGATTTGTATAGGTATTTAAGTCTTAGTTACAAAACTCAAGTGACCATAGACTTTCCTAAGAAATAAACAATCAGAATCAAGTCACCTTTTAGGTTGGTAACTAAAAATCAAATTATTTAGAGAACATTTATATAACCAGGATAAATCAATATATATCAATATGGATGTGTTTATATCAGTAGAAAAGTTTTCAAAGGTATATTTGAAAGGTAATTAATGACTAAACAATAGAATATACATCGTTTGAAGACCCTGATTCATGAATTGTAAATGAATATAAATGTAGAGGATGAATTCTCTCTTTATATCTATTAAACACTAGTCATTTTCGCGTTACAAATTATACTAGCTCACCTTCATTTACTGAAGTATCAATGGTCAGTCCTACTTCATAAAATTTTGGTTTAAGCCCAACTGGCTCAGTCGGTAGAGCATGAAACTGTTAATCTCAAGGTCGTGGGTTCGAGCCCCACATCGGGCGTCGTCTGGTGAGGCAGTTCACCGAATCTGCTAGTCGCCGACTTCTGTTTCACACACTAAATCATATTCAGCATCCGAATATGATTGGGTTATTATTATTATTTGATGCATAGTCATTTACTGATCATGTTTATGTTCAATAGGTTGAATTATTTCTGTAAAGAAGCTCCTATCGGATTGCAAAATATATTGTCATACATTTTGTTGGAAATAAAAACGACTATCAATTTTTTTCTTATGATTGTACGTCAAAAGAACATGAAATCTTACATATAACTCTAGACAATTCTATAATGTTCCTTTTACTTTCAAATTTAATCATGAGTTCAAAATAGAACAAAATATGAATACTGGATTTCATTTCAGTTCAATTTGAAGTTTATGCTGATGATATCATTCGAAAGAACAATGAAGGCTTCATGATCAAACTATTCAACTTAGAGAATAAAATTCCTAACTGAAATCCATCTTTTCTAGAAAATTTTTAATTTTCTGATTTAAACAAATCATAATGATAAAAAGGTCTAATTGGTTTATTTTTGTTCACTGAATAAATTTCGACATCCTTGCTTGTTAACTTCATCAACTTAACACATTTAATCAGTAGTTATGTAAGTATATACCGAAAGCATAATAATAATGATAATCGTAAACATACTTGAACATATAAAGGTTCAATGCCATATGTTTCAAATTTTGCAGCATTTTCAAGAAATTTATTCTCAGCATCACTCATTGACATACCTCTGAAAAAAGGAATTACAGTTAGAATAAATTTAATATTTGTAAATGTCGTAATGATAGAAATTTATAGTAATCTAAACTATACAGTATTTTAAATGATGATTGACCAGTCCCATGTTTAATTGATTGAAACAAACAGCTTAATCATTGATATTATTAAACAATGATATATATACTTATATCCACACAAGTAATATATAACGGTGGTCAGGCATAGAATGTATTTTAGTAGAAGCTCGATGAGGAAAGAACAGGAACGGAACACAATTGGTAGGAAAATGGATAAACAATGAAATCTGAGACAATAGATTGAGGTTCGCAACAGGAACAGTCACGTTTGAGATGATGGATTAATGTTTTGCAAATTAATGATTAATTATATGGTGTTTAGGATTTTAGTGAGATACTCTGTAATTTTGTGCTCAAATATATTCGATTGTCCCCACTGGTGTTCTTGTCCACTATAAGGGTACGTCATGGTTATTAATTGTTTCCCATGAATATTGGTACTTTTTCTTCATATTGATATAAAATAATAATTTGTACATTATTTTAAAATTGTAATCCAAGATAGGTGGTGATTAAGAATGGAATCCAGGACGCGTATTTCGTCCTTTTTGGGACTCGTCAGTTGGATGTACCTGTATCTTAGAGTTGTTGTTCATTTAGGTACGCGAACCCAGTACCGTTTCTCTCAAATGCTATCGCGTTATCCATTCAGCTGCTAAGCCTTAATAGCAAATTGCGTGTCTCAAATAGGACGAAATGCGCGTCAACCTGGCTTCCACTGTTAACCGCTATTCATCTCTGCTCATAAAGCTTGTGACTTAAGGCAATTTCGAGGCAGTCCTCACAGGATGCACATATGCCAATAAAAGATTGATCCATTTCAGTCCTAAACAACAATCGGAATATTCAAGTAAAACAATACCAAGTGAATTATTTTAAAATTGGTTTTAATGCACCTTAAAAACAATATAGATTATACCTTTTTTATCAAAATTTTTTAAAGTTCTACTTACTTGAATGATTTATAAATCTCTACAATTTTTGATTCTGTTTTTGGTGTAATATTGGCAAACATTTTAAGATCAGCTAATGAACCTTCAGGTCCTAAATAATCTAACAAGATATCGAAGTCTCCAATTTCAGCTAAAAAAAGACGTTTTTTAACAAAAAATATATATATTTTATAGAAATAGGTATTAAATAAAATTATTATTATTTACCATGAACTCAATATAGCTGAAAGGATCTTACTAATTAAGTCAGCAGTATGAATCTCAACAGGGTTTTTTTAATGGTATATGAGGAGTGATTGAACACAACAGTTCATGCTTGAATAGAGCTCCTTATCCTTAGCAATATATATATAAATATATACGCAATGCATAGAAATATTCTATCTGTCTCTCCTTCTCCATCTTCCTCTCTCTCTACATATATATATATATACATCTTTCTAGATTCTATATACAAATAATTGGTAAAAATTGGCTGTTTTGTGAGTAAAGAATCACACAAATCATTTGTCTTCCCATAATTATCAAACGTCACTTAGAATTCACGTTTATTACTACTATAGATGTTTGTGTAGATAATGAAATTTTCATAGTCTACATTATAAGTTGATCTTCATTAGATAATCACTGGAAAGCAGGAAGAACTGGACAGCTTACTAGTAATTAAGATTAGTTTGTAATTGTCAATCAAAGTAAGAAACCTTGACCAATGGAGTTCAATCATATCAGATATGAGGTAGCTAACCGCCAATGTCATCAAAAGATAGTCATGTGAATAGCCCTTATTGATTTAAGTTTAAAATCGTATCCTAGTATTGTGATCTAATAGCTTAGCACTTATCAAGAGACATTCAGTTTCTAGTCTCAATCTCCTGAGTGGTTGCGCATCTCCACTGTTTACTGACTTTCAATAGATATCTAAGGTCAATATGAGAATCCTTAAAGATAAAATAAGAAAACGTTAAAAGAGTAAACAAGCAAACAAGTGTACATCTTTATTAATAACTAACCTTGTAGTATACATGCTGCTAGTACATGCATTTCTAAATTTCTTCCAATCAATCTACCACTATGAAGATCCCGTCTTAATTGAAGATACAGCAAGTATCTTATTGTATTTTCAATAAAAAAATGTTTTAAGGAAAAACGTACATTAGTGATTAGCAACGAAAAAATAAACAACAATATAAATTCAAATGTAAAAATGTTTCAAAAACAGTTGATACATCACATTTTCTTTTCTGTGATGTTTTTGTTTTTGAATAAGTTCTATCAGTTGAATGCTTGATCCAATATCTTCTAGCCATTTCTAATAATCTCAAAATGACTTGAACAACACAGAAAAATTCATGATGTCTAGTAGATAAAAACTGTTGAGCAAAGATTTATCTGTCTTACAAAATAATTTGTAATGATTTAAGAATACACCACTTTTTATATGTTACTGTTAAAGTAACTGACAAATTTGTATAATTTTTAAAGTTGATTACATGAGTTAGTCTAAGTTTGAGCACCATCAGAAACATGAAAGTACTAGACAGCCGTTCTGTCCTAGTAATGCACATTCACGATCCCACTGGCGGGACTTGAACGTAGAATGTTTGGTCTCACACTCAAACAGTTAACCTATAGACCACTGAGCCGGCATCCAATGGTGTCAATGTCTAACGTTAACCAATCCATTTTATTGCGCGACCATCCACCATTGTCTGAGATGGATAAATGTTTTATATCCGACATGGATTGGACTTCATTGATCGTTGTATAAACTAGATTGAGTTGTAATTAATAATAACAATCTAACAATTTACCATATTATACAATTAAACGACGGTGATTAATACTTCTTTAACGGAAACATCAGAAAAATATGTATTCAGTTACTTTAGTATGATATTATCTAATATTCAGCACAAATATTATTATTTTGGCCTACATTTTGTAGTGCGTCAACGAATAGTAATGAACCTAACATCTGTAATCCTTCTTAAGATGTAAACAGACGTTTGGAAAAAAGAGTTAGTTTCATATATCATTTTCAATCCAATTAATTAAACTATTATTTATCATATCAATTTTATTCTACCAAGTGAATTAGGCTTCACCCCATTGCACAAGCAGGTGGCTATTAGGCTGAGTGGATAACGCGATGGCGTTTGGAGCGAATGGTACTGGGTTCCAGTCCTAGAGTGAATATCAACCCTAGGATGCAGGTACATCCAGCTGACGAGTCTCAAATAAAACGTAACGCGCGTCCTGGATTCCACTGCTAGCCACTATCCATCTTTGCTTATAAACCTTGTGAATTAAGGCAATATTGAGGTAATACGCACAGTATGCACATGTGCCAATAACAAACTGATCCATTTCAGTCCTAAACATCAATGGGAAGATTCAAGTAAAACAATACCATATGATTTAAATAGTTTAACTAAGAAGCTTTCGTTGTTATTCTGGACAATATTTTTATCATATGAATGCTTATAAAATAAATCACATAAATTAAGTATGTACCGAACATATACATGTATAATCTAAATTTATTCATCAGTCTACGTAATGTAATCATGCTAAATGTTTTTATTCTAAAACTGATCAGCTGGTGTATCAAAAATCACTATATATTTTCAGTACGGTGATGTGGAGATTAGTAAATTTCATTAAAATCAAGAAGCGATCTAAGTTAAGCAACCATCTCAAACCTAGAAACACCAAAGGGTCACTTTGTCTGACCACGATCGTGAAACTATCTTGGATTAATTGAGGTTAGATATTAACGCCATCGAACAGCGACTCAGTGGTCTAGAGGTTAAGTGTTTGCACTTGCTACTAAAGGTCTTTGTTCTGATCGCCTGAAGTGAGGTTGTGGATGAGCATCGCCAAGAAGTCCCATACTAGGACGTAACAGTTGTCGATGGTAGTCAAACATAGGTTAGTCAATGACATCAATAATGTGAGTCTCTAAGATGATTGAAAATATCTGTAGCTGAGGATGAAGATGTTGGAGTTGATGTGATGTATTTACGGCCCACTGATCATTGAGTAGTGACCGATGTCATGTATGTTAGGCCCTTCAGAGTGAAGAATGAATCTTATTGAACAAGTTTCTATGTGGCAACTGGTGGAAGCCACTCGACATCGCACGCCCTATGTTGAGATGTAAGGTGGTGACTTGGCGGTAGCCTTCAGGAAACCCTGAACCTGTCTTCTTGCTAATTGGCACTCGTCAGCAAGGTTAACCTGTGATATTGAGGAACCTCATGCTCTCGGATGGATTCAATCTCATATCACCTAGCTTCACACTCAGGCTCATTCTCTTGGAGTAAGCAATTTTAAAAGAAGTTTCTGATAAAGTGATATGAGTGAGATCAACCAGATCTTTAAGAATAAAATGGTTTACTGAGTTTTCTTGCCCTTTAGGCAACTATGTTATGTATTTTTGAAATATGGGTTTGGAAATTGATTATTTTGTGAGCTCAATATGAGTGAGTAAACTGGTTTAAGATTACTGTCAATCAATCTTGGAAGAAAGCCATTTTCCATAAGCAATTGTCTGAATTTATTTAATACGTCGTCGATTAAATCTTCCACACAGATTTATCTAGGATGTATCAGGTTTCTCTACTTGATCTGAGGAAAACTACCCTGAAATTTTGTATATTGCCAGTTCTAGGTTGGCCTTTGAGTATCAAGTAAAAATCAATATTTGTATGCAGTGAAATCATAATTATCGCATTTTTTTCAGATTCAATGAGTAATGTAGTATCAAACTGATTTGAACTGATACAAATCAGATTGACATAAGATTCATTATAACACACTGTAGTAAGCAACGATTAAGAAAGCATAAAATATCTTATAGTTATGTCACCTAGTGTAAATTTACAACGTTATCAATTAATCTATCAATTCTATATAACACTCTGTTCTAATGTGTCTATATTGAACTACTAGTCATTTTAAACAAACTAATTATATTACTCGACTGTGAATTGAATTACATGAGTTAAAATCACTTACCGACTTTTTTCTTGACGAAATTCATTAACTGGATCACTTGGATAATGTTTTACACGAAAATTCAATGATCTTGGACTAACATCTGAAAAAGATTTAGCCATTTATTACATTAAAGCATTACACGTCAAACTGTCTATAATATATAGACATAGTTTTTAATTAGAAAATCATTGGAAATTAAGGACCATTAGATAGTTATCATTTTGTCTTAGTACCAGACTACTCATTGGCAATTCATATGCATGACTCCAATAAAAATCAGACAAATGGCGGGCTCGTGGATGTGCACTGCTGAGAAGTCCCATATTAGGACGAAATGGCCGTCCAGTGCCTCCAGGTTTTTCATGGTGGTCTAACTTCAATTGACTCATGATTCCAACTATTGAACTTAATGTTTTATGCTAAATGTTTACCCTTCAGACCACTAGATTGATAACAATACCTTAACTAGTCTAACTTTACACGATTGGCAATATTTTACTACAATCTTCTTGTATAATTCAAAGATAACTATCTCACATCTAACTTGATATTGAACTAAATGAATCATCAGAAATCATTCTTGTCTTTTCAAGATGATGCAACGTACCAGAACTTTATTCTTAATAATTTTACAATCGAGTTTTCAGTTGATTAAGCCTCATATAACTGTCATTTTCATCTTGCATCATAACACTTTCAGATGTTATTTGGGATTTTAAATGAAGCCTAACAGTACAAAGATTTCACTATTGATTGATCACTTGGTGGTGATCAATATCATGTGCATCAAGTCCTTCTTTCTCTAACCCTTTGATTATTAACCGATCTCATTTGATATTTGAAATCAAGAATCACTTTGTTATGCAATCTTTTCTCTCTATCTATAAAGCTATACATTTACCAAACAACTATAAATATTTATTAGTTTTATTCATGAGCCAACTGAAGCTACACCATCATGGAAAACCTTGAAGTACTTGATGTGATAGGTGAAGTTCAACTGTGTCTGTTGTGAGATAATAACTCTCTGAAGAAAATGATAGACGGTGACGCGAGTTCGTGGATTGGTTGAAGTTAGACATTAACACCATCGGATGCCGGCCCAGTGGTCTGGAGGTTAGGCGTTCATGAAAGAGACCGATAGGTCCTGGGTTCAAATCCGGCATGCGGAATCGTAGATTTTCACTGTTGAAAAGTCCCATACTAGGATGAAATAACCGTCCAATACTTCCAGATCTTCCATTTTGATCCAGCTTAAATGGACTTATTAATTCAAACCACTAAGGCATGTATTTTCCAAACAGCTATAAATCCGAATGTACAGCTTCAGTAAATGATTTCGTCAAAAAGAAAGTGTTTTTTCACTAAAATTCTCTTTATGTCAAGGAATATGTAAGACGACTAAAATGGATCTTCATTTAATAAACTAACAAACATTTCTGTTAGTTTTTAACACGAATTAATTTTCTAATTTGATAAACTTAGTTACTTGATTTAAGTGAGATTTGAAAAACTTATATGATGTTATTAATGAGAATTGAATATTTACTGAAACAACAATTATACTACTGAATTTAATTAGTACTGAAAATAACCTTACAATTTCAATGACTATTATTGTTGAATGATTGTATAATCCAGTTAAAATGATGAAACATAAATGTTCTTTCTGTATAATTTATGAATTGTGCAAGATTTATGATTTGTTTTCTACTACTTTTACATAAAAAGATAGCAGATCTTGGGTTTTAGTGCAAAACTCATTCGTCCATTTAGCTAAATAGAGTTTTGGCATTATAGCATATTTCAGTTCGTAATGAAAACTTACTTACGTACTTCTGTTACCCCTCGTGGTGGAGCATAGACGGCCCACCAGCCCTTTCCATCCAACCCTGACCTGATCAATACTTTCCAGCTCTTTCCAGTTGTTATTCATCCTTTTCATATGGGCTTCTATTTCCCTACATAATGTGTTCTTGGGTTTTCCTCTTTTCCGTTTCCCTTCAGGATTCCAAGTTGAGGCTTGCCTCGTGATGCAGTTTGGTGATTTTCGTAATGTATTTCCTATCCGTTTTCATCATTTTTTCCTAAGTTCCTCTTCAACTGGAACTTGCTTTGTTCTCTCCCACAGAAAGCTGTTGGTAATGGTTTCCGATCAACGGACATTGAATATCTTGCTTAGACAATTGTTTATAAGTATTTGTACCTTTTTGATGATGATTGTAGTAGTGTTCTAAGTTTCAGCTCCGTTCAGTAGGATTGTTTTGACGTTTGTATTGAAAATTCTGACTTTGATATTGATTGACTGTTGTTTTGAGTTCCATAAGCTCTTCGATTGTAGGAATGAGGCCCTTGCTTTGTCAATCCCCACCTTTACGTCTTCTAATCTAATTCCTAGTCCTAACCATCAACAGTAAATCATTATTCTTATTCCTCACACTGGTTTATAATCCTCACTTAATTCTTGTTAGTAGCTAGGTATACTCAATATCACACTGATGTCACTCAAAAGTTGTCCATAAATTATAGTCTCACCAAAATCACTATACTTAACCGACTAATCTATGAACTAGATTCATTCTCTACAAAGTTACTCATAATTTACTTGCTTTAACGTACATTTTGTTTTGAATTACGTTCTAAGTATTAAGAAGTCACAGTGCTGATTGAATAGATACATTTCGGTAAATATACAAATTATTAATATGACAAATGTTACTTACATTTTAATTGTTTATAAACAGTTTTAGACATTTCTAGCCATTGCTGTAAAATAAAGAAATAAACCAAAATAAAAGCTCAATAACAATCAACACATTCACAGTTATGTTAAATACTACTTATTATTAAAATTTTAGAATATTATAAGTAGTATTCTAGTGTATTGCTATTATTAATAATATCTTAGGCTAAACTCCGCATGGAGTCCCTCCAGGGGCTACTGCCGGTCCCAAGCCCGGATAAAGTAGGAGGGTTGGGCATGGGGTTAGCGACCCCATCACGTAGGAAACTAACTCGCTAAAAAAACTTTAAGCAGAAAAAATTATTCAAACCTAAAGTTATGAATTTGTTTAGTTGTCCTTCAACCAATAGGAATAGTTAAAATACTCAACCGGGTCTTTTTCTAATTGCTAACTTCAACTGAAGACCTTCTAGAGTTAGGGGTAGTCTCAAGCCCGAGTAAAAAAAAGGAAGGTTGATCAAGGTGTTAGCAACCTCATCCTTTAATATGAACTTTTAAAAATGTGCCAACCGTAAAAAAAGTAATCCCGCTCGCGGGATCGTGGATGCGCACTGCTGAGGAGTCCCACAATAGGACGAAACGGCCGTCCAGTGTTTCCAGGTTTTCAATTGTGATGGTCTAACATCAATTGGTTCAAGATCTCAATCAAAAACTTAATAATCTCCACAACCCCTATACTAGTAATTTATAATTGCTTTATTTATATGTCTACCAGTGGAGAAAAATTACTCATTCTCTAAATTGGTGTTAAAGATGTACACATGTTATTTCCTCTTCGAATTTCTTTTCCAATCATAAAACAATAGTCGATTGTTAACAGTCTCACCCTTGACCCATCAAAATGTCAAAAGTGTTATCTTTAGCCTGAGACATGTCAAACAATGAAACACCCTACTAGAATCAAATGAAATCTGTTGTATTAGAGATGTTATTTATCCTGGTACATGCTTCTCTTATGATCTCTCTCAGTCTTCCCATCTTTTGTCGATACCGAAGGTCGTTCATCGTCTAACTTATTATGTAAAGAGGTCATGTGTTTCTAGCATTACACAAAATTCGGTTATACGAAATGTTAATTATTGTATATTACATAATATTCTATACTGATAGCCATTGGTTTGTCTGAACTTCTGAAAAACAATTACACTGTGTTGTGTAGAATCTTGAATTCAGTTATTAAGATATAGGATGAATCTTTTAACTCACAAGTATCATTTTTATCAAATATAAACTAATCACATCAATCACATATCATGATATATCATCTAGAAGAATGAATTACAGATATATGGAAGCTACATATACGTGAGCACAAACCAGATAAATGAGTAAGAAGATAGAAAGTTAAACTACAGCTTTATTGATTAAAACTGAAATAAGAATATATGCACACTTATACACAAATAACCACTTTTATCCCTAAGAAAATAAAGTCACATTTTCCACCAATAGCATGTTTTCCTTTTTAAAAAAAGGAAGCTAAATCTCTACTAACAGAGTACATTTATCTTGTAACCTTTGTCTTATTGGCTTAACTTATCAACAATTACCTTCCAAAGATTTTTACAACTAATATTACTCTATCATAAACAATGAATTTGATTTATTCATATTTTGTATATGTCTAAAGAAAAAACCTGTAAACATATGAAAACTGAATGTATTCATTAAATATCTTACTCGTTGTTTAGAACGATCTAGATAACGTAGACCAAAATAATCCTTTTCAATAATTCCACCTATTCGTTCTATAACTTGGTTGAATAATACACGACCAAGACAATCATTCTATTTGATAAAAAAACAAAATAAAATTCAAGAAAATCAATAGTTATTTTGATAAAAATTTGTCTATATGTATATGTGTGTTGTGTGTGCTACTTATATTGGCATAATTAGTATATGATGTTAGTCGTAAACAGAAGGTCTGGCAGCAGAGAAACAAGAGGATCGAAACAGAATGCAATTTGTATGAAAATGCAAGAACAATGAAGTTTGAGTCACTATGAGACAGTTGATGGACATTTTGCAAATTGCATATTTACTATTTGATTGTTAGATTTTATTAGCAAGTCCTGTAATTTTATGTCAAGTACATTCGATCGTCCCCACCGGTGTTCTTGCTCACTACATATGTATATACTTCATTATAGACTAGGAATGGAGTATGGTACAAATTCTTTGAAATACAATAGCTAACTGGTTACCAATTGTAACTATTGAAACGCGTATAGAATCTACTTTATGTTAAGATATTTGAATAAACTTTATCTTGAACAATTATTTTATTTCAATGGTTGAGATCATGAGTCAATTAAAGCTAGACCACTATGAAAAACTTGGAAACACTGAATGGCCGTTAAGTTCTATTGTGCGACTCTTTTGTGGTGCGCATCCGCGATCCCGCCTTGCGAGATTCAAACTCAGGGCCTTCAGTCTCGCGCGCGAACGATTAACCCACTGAACCACTGAGTCCGCATCGAATGGTGTTAGTGTCTAACATCAACCAATCCACAAAATTGCGCATTCATCTTCCATTGTACTGAGGTAGATACCTGTCTCTACCCGACACGGATTAGCTCCACTGGTCACGATTTCTCATCAGAAATCCGAGAATTACCTCACGAAGCTAGTGACTAGTGAGCACGCGGAAATTATAAACGTCTCCCATTGTACTGGGGTAGATAAATAATTTTCACAGATTAAATCACGAAATGATCTTAGCTAGACCCCCATTAAAAACCTGAAAGCCTTGGATGGCCATTTCATCTTAATGTATGAATCTTCAGCGATGCGGATACACAACCTGGCAACCAAGAGTTGAATAAATAATTCTTCATATAAATTCTTTCCTTCGTTCTTATATAGATTCGTATTAGTTTTGTTCCGCTGTAATAAGTAGTAACTTTGCCACAGTCATAACAAATGTCATGTAGAAATGTTTTACTTCAGTAGATTATCACTGCGAAATATTGTGTAAGCACTGTGTTCAGGGTATGATCACGAAAGGAAACTAAATGAGAGATTCTTGAAGATGAAAAGTACCCAGCTGAAATAAATAAAAACCCGTATGCTAACGACTGACTATCAGTGAAAGAACTCTCAAGGACGAATGCATGCCAACTGTAACTGATTAAAATCTAGTCAAAACATCAACAATGGGATAATGCAAGATATAACGAATTGAACAAAGATTCATGTGTTATATAAGTGGCTATCTGAATACAATACCCAAGTGGATTTTGTGTTGGACTTCAGGGTGAAAGATATTGAGTTCGAATCCCAGAATAAACATCAACCGTAGGACACAGGTACATCTAGCTAACCAACCCAAAACAAGGCGAAATTTACTACATATCAAAATCTTTCGTAACATTTATGTAAATTTAACACCACTGTATTACTGATATTTCATTTTAAACAAAAGATGACTACAATGCTTTAAAAAGTCACTATAAATTATCTTAACAAATTCATAAGTTATCAGAAGGGGTTTGTGGAGATTTTTAGAAATTTTCACAGATTGAAATCATGAGTCAATTGAAGCTAGACCACCATTGAAAACCTGGAAGCACTGTACGGCCGTTTCGTCCTAGTATGGGACTCCTCAGCAGTGCGCATCCACGATCCCGCACCACGCGGGGCTCGAACCCAGGACCTACTGGCTTCGCGCGCGAGCACTTAACCATTAGACCACTGAGCCGGCATCCAACGGTGTTAATGTCTAACTTCAACCAATCCACGAAGTTGCGCTACCATATACCATTGTCATCAGTGAGCTGATATCTCACAACAGACCTGGTTGTACTCCACTGGTAACGGCTTCCCACTAGAACTCCAAGAGTTATCATTAGGCAGTATTGAGTACAGTAGGTGATATATTTTACAGATTTTCTCAAAATATATTCAGGATTACATGAAATTAACGAAGATTCTACCACAAATAGTAACACCTCATTACCAACTATCAATTATTTTACGAGAAGTCGTAGCGTGACTTGTGCTACTGATATCGACAGATATGAGTAGTATGTTTCACTAATCGAAAGTGGAATGCCTGGTGGCAGAAGGTTGCGAAAATAGAAGGCAAGAGAATGATAACAGAGAAAGATTGGTATTAAAACGAAAGAACGATAAATTTGAGACAATTGATGGATGTTTTGCAAATAAAGTATTTACTAAATGGTTCTCAGATTTCACTAAGAGATTCAGTAATTTGGTATGCAAATACATTTGGTCATCCCCACCTGAGTTCTCGTTCACTACAGTAGTAGTAGTGCTACTATTATTAATCTTATAATTATTAGTCCAAATACTTGCGTCATACAACTGATCATTTTAATTTGGTTTTAAAACATGATAGAACTACCAAGTTATGACAATTTATAGTCAGTCGGGCATGAAACATTAGAACAATGAGATGAAAAGCAAAGCAGTAGAAACAACAGTGTTGGCAATGATAGTAAGGAATACTAAGCGTTGAGAATATGGTTAAAAAAAGCAAAATGAAAAAGAAACGTTGAAAAGTATACTGGAGCTCAAAACCGATAGGGAGATAAATAGTGATAAATGTACGGGATTCATCGTGACTGATCCTGATCCATGTCAACCAGTTATATCGTCTAAATTAATCAATTAATGAAATTATTTATAGAAACATATTCTTACATCTTTCACTATGAAATAATCACTTATAAATTTTATCAAATCTCTTTCATTAACAACTATTTAGATTTTAACTAAGGTCATGAACCAATAAACGTTAGATCATTATTTAAAACATAAAAGCACCTGATGGTCGTTCCTCCTAGTATGGGACTCCTCAGCAGCTATTCGTATAACAGTCAATTAATAACAACTAATGACCATGTGCTCTCTAGTGACTGACTTCAAGAAGAATTTCCTGGAGTTCAATTGAGAAGCCGTGACCAGTGTAGTTCACCTACGTCTGTTGTGAAGTAGTTACTTACTGAAGACAACGGTGGATGGTCGAGTAATATCGTGGATTGGTTGAAGCTAAACATTAACACTGCTAGATGCCGGTTCAGTGGTCCAGAGGTTAAATGTTCGTACTCGAAACCGAAGGTCCTGGGTTCCAGCCCTACGTGTGAGATCGTGAATATGCACTGTTGAAGAGTCTCATATTAGGACGAAACGGCTGTCCAGTTCCTTCGAATTTTCAATGATGATCTAATGTCCAGAGATTCCAAATTTCCAATGGTGGTCTAACATTCATCCATTCATGATATCAATTTTAACTCAACGATCTTCACAACCTTATATTGATAACTAATTATTTACACATCCAATACTGTTTAGAGTTTATAAAATCGATTTTTGGAAGAATGAACAGTATGGATTGATATATCCTCTTATTGATAGCGTGAATATACAGAGTACTACTACTATTACCATTGTAACTAAATAATAGGAAAATGTATATTACTGAAAATGTTAAAACTTTTCTATTAACCAATAGAATTAATTTCATGATTTAATCGATTATTAATAAGGGAATAATTAACAAGACATTCAATAATGTAAGAAAAAACTCCCTATTTTTACTAAAGTATTATAGAACAATCAATAATGTATATTTCCTGATATAAGAAAACTTTCTGGAACACAAAAATAAGGATGCACTCAATACAAATACTAAACTGATGTATATATATTAACTTACATTATTTATAGATTAATTATTTACTCAATATTAATTAGGTTAAGTGTATGATGTAATTTTACTTAGATGTTAAGTAATAGAATAATAAATTTTGTAGACACAATGACTAGAAACACAAAGTGTTGAATATATATAATTTCATTTCAATGGTTGAGATCATGAAACTAGACTATCATGGAAAACCTGGAAGCACTGAACGGCCATTTCGTCCTATTGTGGGACTCCTCTGTGGCAGTGCGCATCCACGACCTCACCTCGAGAGATTCGAATCCAAGACCTATCAGTCTTCACGGTGGTCTAGCTTCAATTGACTCATGTACTCAACCGTTGAAACCACTATGATATCTATAAAACCCATTCTGATATATAATTTAATTAATTAAATTTGTACAGATCAGATATCAAATATATTTATGATTCCTGTAGTTTAACCATTAAATTAGTGTGTGGAATCATTATATAGTTATTTGATCACAGTCTGTGAATGATTAATATGTTTAGACTTGAATTTTATTATTCTAACTTTTGTAAGTAAACATCTAAGACTGATTACATTTGAGATGATGGAGGAGATTTGTAGCTCAGGTGAATGATTTAGGTGTAGTTTTGTTGTCTGAGCTCATATCGATACTTGTGGACTACTGGAAAAAGATTTAAGATTTTACATAAGAGGAATACTAAAAGCACGAGGGAATTTGTAGAAGCTTGGCACTCAGGTTAATCAGCGATCAACAAACACATTGAAATCGATCCAATCTATCAACTAATCAGAAAAATCTTGGACAAACATTGGAACAAGAATCAAATCAGTAGGATATACAATCAAAATAAGGATGTAGACAATTACAGGTTAAATGTCAACAATAACAAATCAAGATCGAGGTCGATAGAACAAGCTGTGAGTCATATGTGCAGAAATTCGAACACTACACCTTTATCTGAAGTTTGAACTGATGATGATGTTCAGAAGAACGATGACAGGTCCATGATAAAACCATCCAGCACAAAGAACCAAACTCCACCTACAAATGATTGAATTTCAGTCAAAAATGTCAACAACGAGACAATTCCAATTATTATCAAGTAAACTAACATTCATACCCATTGCATAGGTAATTGATTATCTGAACTCAGCAGTTAAATTAATAACGCATTTAGGTGAGAGTATAATTTCTGAACAGACCCATGGAATCAAATTTATACAAAGATATTCGTCAATATTTTTAAACATAGTCTAACATAAATTGGGCGCCGAGTGTATAAAAAACATTGTATGTGCAAAATTATATTAGAAATAATCATCGCGATTGAAATTTAGATAATTCCAACGTTTCATTCAGCAGACTTGTTTCGAATCTTTCAAGAATATCATCAAGATCAAAATTATCAAGAAGTATATAATATTTAACTCCGCCTGTAACTCTTCTAGAGTTACTCCCGGTTCCAAGCCTGGATAAAGAAGGAGGGTTGGGTATGGGATTACCGACTCCATCTTGTAGAAACCTGATTCGCTAAAAAAGCGCTAACCAGGAAAAGTAATTCAAACCATTTAAAATCTGCCTGAGAGTTCATTTAGAAAATTTATGAGGCCTCATAGTGAGAGCCGAGTTCTTTCGAAAGTCATGAGGCCTATGCCCCTTTTAACAACCAGAGCAACAATTTTTTATATAATGTTTAACAATCAAATTAAGTTTGCAATAAATGATTATTCAATTAAATCCGTAGATTAGCGCTAGTAGATTTAATGTGATTGTCAAATGTTATATATTTTTAGATAATTTCGGTTTTGATTATAATCCTGAAGAAACCAAGACAAACTTGCTGGATGAAACGGTGGAATTATTCAAGTTTCAATAACTGCGATTATTTTACAAAAGTAATTTTACACAAACAATGAAATTAAAAGTACCAAGTCTTGGATTTTGACGCCAAATTCATTCATCTATATGGCCAAATAGCATTTCAGCATTTTAGCTAATATCAGTTCATGATGAGAAATCTATATTTAATTCCTAACCCCACCCTATAACTCTCAGTCTTATTCGTAATTCATTACACTTATTAAAAACCCTCATTCAACCCTAATAAGTAGATGAAGCTCCTTAAGGTCACTTCAGCATCACTCTAAAGTCGTCCATGTATTGTAATCTCGCCCGCATTATAGGTTAATACAAAAGGTTCTGAAATCGAGTACTGTGGCGAGGGAGATAATACCTGTGCTATTAACGTACATCTAACTGACCATTTCGATGTACGACGAAACATGTATTCTAAATTCTAGTGTTGGTAATGAATAATGTTTTATCAGTCTAGTCTATTAATGATGGTTGAATTCTGCAGACTGAGTTCCAGTGTAGCATTAATCTGGATGATTCAGCACCATATAGACTATGTTTGATGTTAAATGACTAGAAGTAGTTGATAGAAAACCATGCCCGACCTAGATTTGATCCTAGTTGATACTCGTCATACTAAGAAATACTTTATATCTTGAGGTAACTGATGTTGTCTGAAACTCTGTCTTATGAGCTATAATAACCAATGAAACAAAATCAATATACAGGAACAAAAGAAATGCAATTAAGGCTAGACATAAATACCGAAATTTCCTTTAAAATTATACCGAGGATTGAACTCTATTCAGTTAATTATTTATTTACTAAATTCCAAACAAACAAGTATACATCAGAAGGTGCTCACATCCCAGTGATAATATTCTCATTAATACTTGAACCAATTACCTTCCTCTTCAAATACACAATATGAAATCGACAGAACTACTGAAACCACATAATCACAACCCTTAATATTTTGTGACATAATGGTTGTATCAAGACAATCCATACTGGATGAACATACCCCAACAAAAACAGATCAGAGTTCACTTCAAAATATTAATTAAGGTATAACTCTAACCCTTATTAATAATAATGGTATACATTTGGCAATAGAAAGGTTTATTTGTTTATAATCAGAGGGGAGATTTTGTGGATATTATAGCAATTCTAATAGTTAAATTTGTGAGTCAATTGAATCTAGACTATCATGGAAAACCTGAAAGCACTGGACGGCCGTTCCGTCTTAGTTTGGAACTCCTCTGTGGCAGTGCGCATCCACAATCCCGCTTCGCGAGAGCTATCGATCTCGTGTGTGAACGCTTAACCTCTAGATCACTGAGACGGTATCCAGTTAAAGTTAGACATTAACATTGTTGGATGATGGCTCAGTGATTTATTTGTTTGTTTATTTTTTATTTACGTACGACACTTCACGACTGAATAATTATTTACTGAGTATTTTTGTTAATCTGGACAAGAAGGTGATATATTCAGGTCAACTTTTTATTTTCAATGACATTTATGATGAATGTAGATTTAAAAGACATAAAAAATGATATTAAACCAAATTACTTTATAGCTTAACATTTATTTCAATTAACCGTCATAATAAACTAGTTATACTGTCCGCAGGTTAACAGATGTTTTAGATGTATAACTGATTAATAAATCATGTTTAAATAGATGCAATCAGTATAATAAAACTAAACTGAATACAACAATTGTCTATTTTTATTACGTTAAAATAGAATGTAAGAATTTTGATAGAGTTTTGTTCTTCGAGTTGAATACTTTGATCGTAGAACTTTCATCGTTCTTCTGAACGGTATCATCAGCATAAACTTCATGTAAAGCTTCATAACCAAACTATCCAGCTCCAGAGAACAAAACACCATCAATGTCATTCACTTGAGCTATAAATCTCAGAATATAAGACTTTTATAGTAGAAAGTTAATTAGAGATGTGAATATGTAACCTGTATATTTGTTTAAGTTTAAATTTTAGCAATATTATTTCTTGGGATAAAATAAGTGTTTGTAAAGTTCTGGTGTATCCATTCTTCAATATCCAATAGTCGTGCAATGTTTAATGTACTTTTTTTCATTCATTAAGTAAATGATGCATATAAGAGTATACATTTTACTGCGAACTTGATTTCAAGCTGTAGTTTCCCCCCCCCCACACACACACACTCACTTATTCGTCTTTTTTATTCCCAAAGTTGGGATGTGCTATAGTGTTCTGTGCATAAAAGATATAAATAGATAGATTGAAATGACTGAAATAAAATCTCTAATAAAAGTTACACTTTTTTATGTAGCTCTTACATACTAAAAGAATGTTAATATGTATGTTGGTCCACTTTTAATGAAGACTAAGAAAATGATGGTTATACTCATATGGCTTCTTACAATTATCTAATAACATTCAAAACCAGGAAGATAGATTTTAAACAAGTCCCTCAAATTTTACCTTTCTATAGGTGTTTTTCATCATTAATCACTTCATTTTTATCCAGCTGTTAGTTAAAAGTGACCAAATTATACATTTAATAATGTAAGACTAAAAGTAACTTTAAAGAGTATATTTCTTGCTCTAAAATTGTTTCCACTGTATATAACACCATGTTTAATAACATAAACAAAGGTAGAGAAATTACACATTCCTTATCGCGAAACCAGTAGGTCCTGGATTCGAATCCCGCGGGGTGCGGGATCGTGGATGCGCACTGTTGAGGAGTCCCATACTAGGACGAAACAGCCGTTCAGTGCTTTTAGGTTTTCCATGGTGGTCTAGCTTCAATTGACTCATGATTTCAACCTGAGAACTTTCAAATGATCATATCGATTTAAATATACTTGAAAAGAACAATAAAACAGGTATCTACGGGTTTCGTTGAATATATTCCAAAAGAAACCTATCACTTTGAGGAGAAAATGCTCTTCACATTTTGATAGTATGACATTTAATTGAGAAGGAACAAAGTGCTTGCAAAATAATCAACAAATAATCCAATTCTATATTATCAAACTTTTTGGAAGTCAAAGCAATTTCAACATTTGAACTTGACCTTTCTATACAAAAGTAGTTAGTGGTTAACCTTCATAGGCCTTAATAACTAAAGCGTTTTGGACTCACTACTCATTTTTATTATTATTCATTTAATTAGAATGACAGTCTAGTGGGTTCTCTTCACACATTCCTTCCCTCTAAATTCCCTAGATTTTTCTTCATATTGATTAATGGAATCATATTGAAATACCCTAGAAATGTCACTTTATGTATCTAGAAAGAAAACTTACTTTAAAAAATTTAACTTTTAATTATATATACATCCTAAGCTCATTAATTCGGATTTTTTAAACAATCCATTTTGTTTAAATCACTACAGAAGATTCTAAGTTTGACTCTTGGATCTGAGGTCGTGGATGCACACTCTTGATGAGTCCTACACTAAGACTAAATGGTCATCTATTCCTAAGTTTTCAGTAATGGTCTAACTAAGATCAGCTAGGGATTTAATTTATATAAATTAGACTAACTCAAATTCCTCTATGTTATTAATTTATTTGCCGCGAATTCCAAATTATAAGAGTGATAATTCAAAATCATTAAATCTATTAGGTTACATATCGACATAAAGATAAACCAACGAAACATCTAGTGAATTTTAACAGTTGAATTCATGAGTCGATTTTGAGCCAGACCACTATTGAAAACCTGGAAGCACAGGACGGCTGTTTCGTCCTAGTACGGGACTCTCCATTAGTGCTCATTCATGATTCCGCACACAGTGTTCGAACCCAGGATCTACTGTCTCGCTCGTGAACCCTTTGGTCGACTCAGAATTTAAGTGTTAGAATACTAAAATCTTCATAAACCCTGATACTTAGTGAATTCATGGTTGTCTGGAATAAATGTCATGTTTTTTTTCTTCATTTATGCTTTATTATCAATCACATTTCACAAATAAATCTATTGAATATATTTTGTATGGAAAAATTTAATACCCTAGCCTATAAATGCATATGTTTATAAAACTATTAACTAATTTTAGCCATATTCATCAATATATATTTATGTTCCAGTGAACTATTTAGTACATCAGTGTATTTATCGAAAAAAAACGATCATATCAAATCAATAATTCAGTTAACCCTAGACTTACCGTAACTTCCAACTGTAATGGAACCTCTTCATCACTTAATAATTTAACTTCAACCATAAAAAATCCAGCATTTCCATCCATATTTTCATGTGATAAAGTTCCCGTTGGTGATTTTGAACTTAAAGGCGATGTTGGATGAACTGACCAACTAATAGATGGAATGCGTTCAGAACTACGTTCTGATTGAATAGTCAATGATCTTGTCGGATATGTATCAATTGGATCCAAAAGAAGTTTTGCTGTATCATTGCGAACTTCACTTTGAGATCTAAAATAATGAAGAAAAAAAAGTAATAACTGTTCAATTAACTTTGTATATATAAAACAATCAATGTTTTCACTATAGTTTATTGTGTGTTTTCATATCATAAACAATATACTCTTACTACGTTTTTAGCACGTATACACAAGTGATTTATTTGCATACATCCAGTGATTAATATCTATGTACTGAATAAATAAAATCATGCAGTCTAATTAGATACAATGAATTTCTTCGGATAGGTTAGAATGAATTTCAGTATTAAGTTAGTATTCTAATGATTCTTTTTAGAAGACAAAAGATTCAGTACAATAAATGACAGTCTACTAACGTCAAACCAGTAACTCAATGTGGGGGGGTATTAGCAAATGAACATGAAAAAAAAAATACATTTTTTTTTATTTGAGGAGAATTTATTTTCTGAGCATTGAATGAAGATAGAAACTAAATTCACCACGTAAATGGTCGATTAACTTGATCCTATTAAAAGGTAATGAATACACATAGAGAACAGAAATAGTCTTATATAAAAACAATTATGAGTGTTTTATGAAAATAGATGGATTATGGCTAATGGCTAAATTCAAGAAGCATATTTCATTTTATTCTGGACCCATCATCAGAATGTACTTGGATTTAAATGTTAATGTTTACAATGGGAATTGAACTGTTTCACATGTCCAATGTGCTATTCATTGATAAACCTTAACTAACAATCATGGCTTTGGATGAAGGATAATTAACTTGAGAATAACGTTGTAATTTCAAAGGTCAGTAAATTTATATTAACATGCTACAAACTATATAATACGATTATAAGAAGTTATATTACTACGTGACTACCCTGATTATAATACATTTATTTAATCAACAAACAATAATCATCCATACAACTGAGTTAATGAACTTGATCATTCCTTGTTATATTATTACAATATAAAGATTCCGTAGTATTGTGTATAAAAAACATCAGACGAATACATTTCAAATGCTTTAAAATGAAACTATGTACTGCTCATTATCTAATCTGTAGTTAACTATCAACTTAAAGTAAATAGTTTACTCGAAGCAATCTATCGATATATATAATCAATAATTTTAGTTATCCTTTCAGGTCATCCAATGGGCAGGGCTATAATGAAAACGGGCACTATATAATTTATACTATATGGTAAATGAGTAAAGATTGACTTAGTCTGATATATATATATATATAATACCCAACAAAGTTCGTCTGAATTAGATTGTTTCATCACTACGGGTTGACGCCCAAAGTCAAGTTTTATAATAAATAACAATAGTATACTCACATTTATACATAAACATAGGGAATAGGATATAGTTGAAATTCAAAGGCAAATTTATTAACTTTGTATTAAAGTTAACAATATACCCAGTGAATTAAACTCTTGTTATTATGTGATGACACCCTGTTTCTTCTTTAAATGTTTCTCAATAAGTACAAAATATGTATTCAAATAGAGGAGTGTTCACAGACATGAATATCACTGCTTATATTGGAAAAATTATCAACCAAATGATCGATAAAAAAATGAAATAAACAAAAGTTATCATTATAAAAGAAGATGAATGGTGACTAGCAGTAGGATCCAGAATGCGCATTTCGTCTTTCTTGGGACTCGTTGTATGGATGTATTCACATCCCAGAGTTGATGTTCACTCCAAGACTGATCAATTGCAGTCGTAAATATCAATGGGAAGACTCAAACAAACAATACAAAATGAATTTAAGTATTATCATATTTGTCTGTCAATCATACTTTCAAACTTCCGACTATATTAATAATAGTTTTAACAGTTATAATTATCAAGAATTTCACATTAACTGATTAACAAACTTCTTCCTTCCACTGTCTTAATAATTTATACTTGTCATGTAATAATCCATTGATAAATTTATGATATGTAACGTGATATTCAGTCTGTGGAAACACAACATGATCCCACTAAAAAGGAAATACGGCGAGACTATAATTTATGGACGAACCAATCAGATATAAGATAACGAGTAATAAATTATAGCGCGAAATTTATTCATACATTTGGCTAAATAGAGTTTTGGCATTATAGCTGATGTCAGTTAGTGACGAAAACCCTAAATCTAATTTTTAACCTTAACCATCAACCGTAAATCATAATTCTAACTGCTTTATAACTCTCATTTCGTCCTAATTAGTAGGTATCCGTTCTCAAGGTCACTTTAGCGTCGCTCAAAGGTCGTCTATAAATTATAGTCTCGCAGGAAATACTACTTAATAGTACTGTACGAGTGAGAAGGAAACCAGAAACTTTCACTGAAAACTAAAAATTATTATTAATTTCACTCTTGGTCGTTTAATATGTTATTTGTTTTCTAAGTATATTATTTAGTGCCTTACTCCAAATAACTAATTCCATGTTATTCTACAGATAATATGTCATGGTATTTAAATCTCATAAATTTTTTCAATAATGTACATATATATGTAACTAACTAACAACTGGGCAGTGATCATTGTCATGTTTGTCTAATCCTCTAAGTGCTGATCGAATTCTGTGTATCAAAGTCAAAGTGAGGCTGAGATTCTCAGTGATTCGACATCGCATGTACAATATGTTAATGTTAAATGATTTGTACTAATTAAGCTGTAAAATGTAGTCAACACTTAAAGGGTTTGACATATATGACATTAGTCACTACTCAGTGATCAATCAATCTTAAATACCTTGGTCTTATAAAAGATCAGACACAGCCCGAATAGCTCAATGGCAAGGTTTCAGACTGTGAGACTAGGTGAAGCAGGCTAGAATCATACAAGAAACATCAGTCCCTTCAAGTTTTCACTCATGCTTTGTTGATAAGTGACGACCTACATCAAGCAAGGTTTCCTAGTGACAACCTCCAACCATCTAACATATGTATATACTGTTCATTGAATGGTTCGACTAAAGTTTATCGTAATTATCTCCTTAAGAAAGCTTTGCATTTATTAGCCCGTAACCTTGAAAACCTCCTGTAGAATGGTTTCTGTTATCAAATTTCTCATGTATTTCTGATTGGCTTCATTCTGTATGCAATTTACATAGTCAAAATACTTTGTACTTCTTATCACTGCATAATATCATAGTTTTTTTTCTTATTATACCTATTAGCGAAATTATTCTACAAAATTATGACGTGGAGATATATCGAGTTTTAAAAGGAATAAGATTACCCACTAAGAATTAGTATTTCTATGTAATTAACTTCTACAAAATTATGTTAATTTAGATAAATTGGAAAATCTGTAAAATATTGAGCAAACTATATCAGCCTGTGATATAATAGTGAGGGTTCGATAGTGAAAAAATCTCTTTTCAACAAATTTGGTTTCTAGTTGTACAACCATATATATTAGATGGGTTTTGTGGAAATTGTAGTAATGTCAATTGTTAAGATCATGAGTCAGTCGAAGCTAGACCACCATGGGAAACCTGGAAGCACTAGACCACCGTTTCCTCTTATTGTAGGACTCCTCAGCAGTGCGCATCCACAACCTCGCCCCCTTCGAGATTCGAACACAGGACCTACTGGTTTTGCGCGCGAGCACTTAACCACTAGACAAGTCAGCCGGCATCCAACGGTATTAATGTCTAACTTCAACTAATCCACGAAATTGAGCGACATATTCACCATTGTCTTCAGTGAGTTACTCTCTCACAACAGACCAGGTTGAACTCTACCGGTCACTACTTCTCACTAGAACTCCAGGATATACCTCGTGAAGCCAGTCACTAGTGAGCACATTTTGATTAATATCAGTTAGGTTTTGTCGAGATTGTAGTAATATATATAAATGAAAACTTTATTAAAGTATTAGTTTCATAAGGACATTTGAACAAGAAATAAATATGTTGATGTAATAGAAACGTTATAACACTAGATTACGTAATATATAATAATAAATGATTGTGTGTGTGTAGATTAATTAATAGGTTAACAGTGAACCATAATGTGAATGAAGTAAAGTAACTAAAATGGTTTATTTTATAATAATCAAACTTAATTGATAGGTAAAGTGAAATGAAATGATATCAGAGACAAATATAAATAAAATCATGAGGATATGATACAATTAAAGAGAGAGAGAGGATATATCCAAATATAGAATACAATAATAACAATAATATTAATAATAATAATACAGCTTAAACCTAAGTTAAGAATAACGATAAGTCGTACTTCTTTTGTACGCACAATACTAGCTTCAAGTCATGGATTGCAAGAGCTTCTGTTATTTTAAGGAATTAGGTGAAAAGAAATCTAGTCAGATTTAGACGAATTGTATAAACAACCTTAAAATTAATCTCTGTATCAGTGGATTGATTAGAGTCGATTAGATGTTCAAAAATGGAACTTCTAACTGTCTTCCTCTAACCCTATTAGAACTACATTGGGACATACTCTTGTATCCGAGTTGAAAGAAAGTACTAGCTACGGTTTATGTATCTTGCTTCACAGGAGCAGGTGAACTGGTAGATGCACATGAAGGCGATCAGACGAGAAAGCTTATCCTTTATGGATACAGAAAACAAGTTCCTACTAGTGAACCTTGGTCGCAGCTTTGCTGCATAGAAGATTCTTTTTATCGCTGCCCTTAACCAATTTTTAATTATATCAGAAGTTTGATCACCGCGTTCGCGCGTGAGACTGAAGGCCCTGAGTTCGAATCCCGTGAGCGGGATCATAGATGCGCACTGCTGACGAGTCTTATAATAGGACCAAACGACCGTTCAGTACTTTCAGATTTTCAATGGTGGTCTAACATCAATCGGTTCATGATCTCAATCAACAAATTTCAGTTAAACGAATATGATATTTCGATGGTGGTTTAGCTTCAACTGACTCATTATCTCAACTATCGAAATTACCATAATATTCACAAAATCCTTCTCTGATAATAAATAATGATATAGCAATTAGACATAGTAGAAAAGGATGATACAGAATGAATAAGTACTCATAC